ATTTCGTGTATATAGATGCGCGTTATAGCTTTGTATTGTTGGAAGTATTGTATTCAAAATACAAAATTTGGTGTGTGACAAGACAATTCAATTTATAATAATGAGAGCGCATTTGGACACATTTATACTTGGATTTTCTCAAGAAAATTAACGCGAAAATTAATTTTCAGCGTGAGACAATAAACTATGACTTGACAAATAATCATGACGAAATCCTTTCTCAACAGAATAAAATAAAAAGTGGCAAGGATACCTTCATACCGCAATTTTTCATTAAATTTACTAAGGTATTGGTAGAAACAGATGGAGAATATATGATCGAGGAGAACAGCGAAATGATTCAAACAAATGGACTTCGACTAGCAAAAAAACTTGGTCAATGTTATGAAAAAATAAACGCATATCTGGATTACCAATCCTTATCCTCGATCGATATAAATAATGAAAATCAAACATTGACTTTTGGAAGTAGACTGGGGAAAATAAAATGTTTATGTGGGAAGTGTACAAGTTGAGAATATGATGAACCTTGATTCCAAATAAACGAAAATATTCCATCAAAGGAACAGAAGACGTTTAAACAAGTTTCAGAAAGTACTGAGATTTGTTTTCACCGAGATTTGGCAGAACATCGGATTGATACAGAAGGTGCGAAACCGAATAAACACTGGCCAAACAGGTGAGCACCTAAGAGAGAAACATATCATAAGAGAACAAATTGATGAAATGCTCAGAGAAGGCATAATTAGACCTTTTTCAAGTCTTTCCCCATAATATTGGTCAAGATGTGACAGTGAAAGATGTCTATCCAAACCCTAAAATTAACGAAAAAATGGATACACTCCAAGGGTCCAGGTAATTTTCATCAATAGATCTCAGATCCGGATACTAGCAGGTGGAAGTTGAAGAAAAATACAAAGAGATGACAGCCTTCACAACAGCGCACGAATTATATGAATTCAATGTAATGCCTTTCGGACTATGCAACGCCCCTGCTACTTTTATAGGAACATATAAAAGGTGCTTGGTAATATTATATGCAAGTTTATCTTTGCTAACTATATATATATAGACGATGCAATCATATATAGCTCGTATTTTCCAATGCAACTCGAAAGAGTTTAGGCTGTTCTCAGTTTTTTTTTTTTCGCGAATCAAACTTAAAACTGAATGACAAGAAATGTCGATTTGCTTTCGAATAACTAGAGATTCTTGGTCATATAACCAGCCAGCATGGTATAAATTAACCCACGGGGAACATAATATCAAATCTCTAAGATTTTTCTCATCCTAAAAAAGTTAAAGATGTTCAATCATTTTTAAGAATATGTGCTCATATTATAGAAAATTCACCAAAGGTTTTCTAAAAATTGCTGACTCATTAACCAATCTCATTAAAAATAACCTGGACAGAAAAATCAAGAAAAAGAATTCCAAACCTTGAAACTTTCACTGATAAATACACCAAATTTGAGTTATTTGATTCAAATGCAACTACCTACATTCAATCTGACGCGTTTAACATGGCCTGGGTGCGACACTGATCCAAAAGATAGGTGGAAAAGAAAAAGGTGATATCATATTTATTCTAAATCTGAACAAACACGAGCAAAATAATTAACTACTGAAAAAGAATGGCTAGCCATTGTGGCATCGATGTCCAAATTACGACCCTACCTATATGGAAGGCACTTCAAAATAGTAACCGACCATTACACATTATGCTGACTCAAGAATCTAAAAGATCCTACTGGTCGACTAGTAAGATGGGCAATAAAGATCCAGGACTATTTTTTTGAAAATAATCCCAAATCGGGAAAAAAGCATCTGGATGCCAATAGTTTGTCTAGAGGACTCTTACCGGAAACAGATTGGGACGAAGATTATGATAAGCTATTTCTGAATCAAATTATAAAGGAAGAGGATTATTTTATTGAAAATGTGAAAAATGATACAAAAGTGAATTTGTATTTGGATCAGGTGGATAAATTAAGAAAAATGGCATTCCCTGATCGTTAAACTTTTAGTTGCAAGATCAGGAAATGCCCCTTTTTCTCAATTTATTGAAAATGTTTTAAAAAGGCTTAATGGAAACAAAATCATTCAATTGCACAGAACTATTTAAAGAAGTAAATGTAAGCCTTTACAGAAATATCCAAATTCTGAAAGTAGGACGCGGTTAATTGTAGTTCCAAAAAAAAGATAAGGGGAGAAATCATGGATGTCGTCAGAACTACGCTTCGAATGAAGAATAAATAATATTGGCCTACCATGTTGAAAGATGTTTAAGAATTTGTGAAGAATTTGCCAAAGTATAAAAGGTTCAAACCAGTTGCCTTCTGGACTATAGGCTATACAGGCTACCCATATATAGGCTATACCCCCAGCAAAGTGCCCTTTTAAAAGAATTGGGATTTACCTTGTTGGTCTCTTGCCATCTATGGAATATTGTACTAACAGGCTATTACACTAGATATGCAGAAATAAAGGCAGTGTTGGAAGCAACAGTAAAAGAAGTTTCTAAATCTCTAATCGAAGATATTTCCCTACGCCATGGAGCCTCACAGTTTCTTATTAGCGACAGAGGTTCACAGTTTACAATGATGAATGAGGCAATGAAAATGTAAAAGATTAAGCATTGCTTCACAACGAGCTAGCAGTCCTAGAATAATGGGGTAAAAGAGAGGCTGAATAGAACATCAATCAGCATGATTAGCATGTACGTAAAAACCCGATCAGAAGAGAGAGAGAGCTTCCATTTATTACTCACTAGCCGAGTGACCCGGGAAACGCCCGGGTTTTACCCGATTAAATGTTTTTATTCGAATACTATTCGTTACAATTTTAAATTGGCGCCGTGGATGTCACTCTTGTGAAACGTCCCGTTCCAAACCTTGTCTCTGAGAAGCGATATTTTTATAGAAAGATGATCTGGCTTTTGTTTTCTGCTCGAATGAATGTTTTTCTGTTAGAATTTTGTTCCTGCATACTAAAAATGAACTAGCTTCACCCGTGGTCTCTGCTTTTTGGAATTTTTCCCGATATAATTTTGTATCTGATAATCAAGCATAATACAGCAATATTGTCATTATCATTTTCTGACTAAAAACAAATATTTTTGCCCAGAACCTGTCAATTTCAATTTTTATTGGCTAAAAATGCGACAAATATCTAATCCAGATTTTTCTCTATCTCCTGTTAAAACACGTTTTACATGTACATTAGGTCAGCTGATATTACCTCCTATTTTCACCGCTAGAGGAGCTGCTTGCGAGCGAAAGGGCAAATTTGCAGCGCAAATTTGCAAATAACTTGACGAATATTCGAGATAAAGACCTGAAATTTTCACTATAAGTTTTTCCAGATTCTACTATATATACTGTTAAAATTTCAGTCAGATTAGTTACGTATTGTTGACGTGTAAAGCCGACAAATATACATACATACATACATATATATGTTGGGGCGGCTGCAGGCGTGTTTCAATTATTTATAAATTATTTATATGATTATTTATAATTCAAGAATTAATTACTAAATCACATTAAATTTAACTAGTAATTTTATTATCGTTTTTATACGAAAACAAGCATGTTCTTCGTCTACAACAATAACATGAGAATATATGATGATAATACATTTAAAATACAATATAACGCGGCTGATGTTGTAAAACAAAAATTGCAATTATACCGCGAATGTTTCTTTTAAACAAAAATCGAAATCCATTTCAAAGAGAAACAACGACCATTTCTAACTTTAAGGATGAAGTATGATTGGATGAATTGTGAAGAGTAATGACAAACGGAAAAATAAAAGTGTCCAGGGGCGGGAATCGAACCAACAACCTTCTGCTTACCGGGCAGGTGCCATGTCCACTAGGCTACCCTGGACGTATTTTTCCGTTCGTAAATAATATTTAAAGTAACTTATAATACATTTGAAATACAATATAACGCGGCTGATGATTGTAAAACGAAAATTGCAATTATACCGCGAATTTTTCTTTTAAACAAAATCGAAATCCATTTCAAAGAGAAACAACGACCATTTCTAACTTTAAGGATGAAGTATGATAGGATGAATTGTGAAGAGTAATGACAAACGGAAAAATAAAAGTGTCCAGGGGCGGGAATCGAACCCACAACCTTCTGCTTACCGGGCAGGTGCCATGTCCACTAGGCTACCCTGGACGTATTTTTCCGTTCGTAAATAATATTTAAAGTAACTTATAATACATTTAAAATACAATATAACGCGGCTGATGATTGTAAAACGAAAATTGCAATTATACCGCGAATGTTTCTTTTAAACAAAAATCGAAATCCATTTCAAAGAGAAACAACGACCATTTCTAACTTTAAGGATGAAGTATGATAGGATGAATTGTGAAGAGTAATGACAAACGGAAAAATAAAAGTGTCCAGGGGCGGGAATCGAACCCACAACCTTCTGCTAATAAACACAAGGTAATTTTATTTTTCCGTTTGTCATTACTCTTCACAATTCATCCTATCATACTTCATCCTTAAAGTTAGAAATGGTCGTTGTTTCTCTTTGAAATGGATTTCGATTTTTGTTTAAAAGAAACATTCGCGGTATAATTGCAATTTTCGTTTTACAATCATCAGCCGCGTTATATTGTATTTTAAATGTATTATAAGTTACTTTAAATATTATTTACGAACGGAAAAATACGTCCAGGGTAGCCTAGTGGACATTGCACCTGCCCGGTAAGCAGAAGGTTGTGGGTTCGATTCCCGCCCCTGGACACTTTTATTTTTCCGTTTGTCATTACTCTTCACAATTCATCCTATCATACTTCATCCTTAAAGTTAGAAATGGTCGTTGTTTCTCTTTGAAATGGATTTCGATTTTTGTTTAAAAGAAACATTCGCGGTATAATTGCAATTTTCGTTTTACAATCATCAGCCGCGTTATATTGTATTTTAAATGTATTATAAGTTACTTTAAATATTATTTACGAACGGAAAAATACGTCTAGGGTAGCCTAGTGGACATGGCACCTGCCCGGTAAGCAGAAGGTTGTGGGTTCGATTCCCGCCCCTGGACACTTTTATTTTTCCGTTTGTCATTACTCTTCACAATTCATCCTATCATACTTCATCCTTCAACGACCAACTCTTTGAAATGGATTTCGATTTTTGTTTAAAAGAAACATTCGCGGTATAATTGCAATTTTCGTTTTATATGATGATAATATTTTTTTTAGAATTAAGCTGTTGTTTTTTATTTTGGTATTTACAATTATTGATTTAAAATAATAAGAAATAAAATTATATGAAATAAAATAATATGATTTAAAATTATAAAAAATAAAATGATATGATTCCCTACATATACACTGACTTTTATATATATAGGGATGCGTGCAACAATTCAATCCATGAAATCACGGGCTATTCTCCATTTTTATTGCCATGTTCCTCCTGGACGATGGGAATTTTCGGAGTACCCGACACAGCATGAATGATTTTATACATAAAAATTAGTTGAATAAAATAAGAAGGCCAATAAAAGTGATCATTAACAACACAAAGAAGAAATATATATATACGAGGTGTGTTCAAAAAGTATCGCGACTTTTGAATTTTCGCGGGTTACGTATATTCGAATTTCGATCTTTTTGTGGCTTTATGTTGGTACTCATGTCTCTCACTTATGCCAACAAGCTCGGCCATTTTGAATGTTCACTTAATTGTTGACAGCTGCTTTGCTTGCAGGTGTTTTGGATCGTCTTCGATTTTTACCTATTTAAAAAAATGGATCAAAGAACCTGTATCAAATTTTGTGTGAAAAACGAAATTAAGTGCGCGGATGCATTCCGAATGTTGACTGTGGCATACGGAGAAGCTACCTTGGACCGAAGCAACGTGTATGGGTGGTACAAAATGTTCTCAGAAGGCCGAGAAGATGTGAACGACGAAGAGCGTGCCGGACGCCCGAGCACTTCAACAACAGACGAAAAAATTAATGAAGTGGAGAAAATAATATTGGCCAATCGTCGAATCACCGTTTGAGAAGTTGCTGAGGACCTAAACATATCGATTGGCTCGTGCCATTCGATTTTTATCAATGATTTGGGCATGAGACGGGTCGCCGCGAAATTCGTACCAAAATTGCTCAATTGCGACCAAAAACAGCATCGCATGAACATTGCTAATGAGATGTTGGACTCTGTCCGCGACGACCCAAATTTGCTCCAGAGGGTCATAACTGGTGACGAAGCGTGGGTTTATGGTTATGACGTGGAAACCAAAGCTCAATCATCTCAATGGAAGCTGCCGCACGAACCAAGACCGAAAAAAGCGCGCCAAGTTCGGTCGAATGTGAAAGTTTTGCTGACAGTTTTCTTCGATTGCAGGGGCGTGGTGCATCATGAGTTCTTGCCACAGGGTAGAACGATCAATAAGGAATATCACCTGCAAGTTATGCACAATTTGCGCGAAGCAATCCGCCAGAAACGCCCGGATTTGTGGAAGAACAAAAATTGGCTTTTGCACCACGATAACGCCCCTGCTCACAAATCGTTGCTTGTGCGCGACTTTTTGGCCAAAAACAACACACTAATGATGCCGCAGCCACCGTATTCCCCAGATCTGGCCCCCTGTAACTTTTTCTTGTTCCCTAAACTGAAGAGGCCCATGAAAGGACGACGTTACACTACGCTTGACGAGATAAAGACGGCATCGAAGGAGGAGCTGAGAAAGATATTTTAAAAATGATTTTTTGAAGTGCTTCGAAGATTGGAAAAACCGTTGGCACAAGTGTATAATATCTCATGGGGATTACTTTGAAGGGGACAAAATAGGTATTCATGAATAAATAAATAATTTTTGAAAAAACACAACTATACTAATACTACTAGAAGATACTATGGCAAGAAACACAAGGAAAGAAACTATGAACCAGTAGAATTAGTAGCAGTTTGGACACCAATTGGGAAAAGAGGAAGGTGCGAAAAACTGTTGAAAAATATTTTGGTCTATATATAATACTAGCGGATGTAACCCGGCTTCGCCCGAGGTTTTACCCGAGTAAAGGTTTGTCTAACGAACATTTGTTAAAACAATTCTCTATAAACTTATAAAAAAAAGATATATTTTGATAATTTGAAACTCGTAAATTTGAATCTTTCGATAAAGTGAACATTTTTTCCCGGTTCCTGTGTGCCGTGTCATCCTGAATTTTGTCTTTCATAATTTTCTACATTACAGAATCATCGTTTTATCTAGTGAACATATTTTCCCGGTCCCTTGAAAAATACTCGATAAGTTGAATAAAATCATGGTCGTTTATGGAAGATGGACGTAGTTCCCGGAGGTCACCCGCGAGGCTTTTTTCTTGTCTACTTTGCACAGCTGTCACCAACTCTGCCCCCGCGCGCCAGTACCTCTTGATCCCTCTGATTGGTCGGTGGGAACTTGGACTGACCGGCCGGACGGGGGGGGGGGGGGCAGACCTAAGCCTATCTCCGTCGCAAGGTGGCGCTGCTTGCGAGTTAAAGCTACATATCTGCGAATAACTCTAAGGATATTAAAGATATTCAAGAAATTATTTTTCGTAAACCTTTCCGGGGATATGCCTAATAATATCCCAAATTTTCACGGCGATTGGATGTATGGTTTTTGAATCCATAGAGGACACACACACACAGACAGACATTCATTTATATATACAGGGTGATCCAAAAGTCCCGCACAACTTTAAAAATTAATAACTCCGCGAATATTTGCGCTAGAGCAATGCGGTAAACACCATTGTGTTCAGGATGCAATGGGATTTTTTATGGCAAATAATGAAAAATTCGAAATTGATTTTAGTTACAACTTTATTCGCTAGAGATGGCGCCCTACCAGAATCAGCGATTCAGCGGCCAAATTGTTTGATAAATTGAAAAATATAACTAAACGACACGTATTTTTACTTTTCGAATACCAGGAAAGAACCCTAATAATATCAAATGATAAATTAATAAAACACCATTTGGCCAAAAGTTAGAAGAAATGGTTAACGATTTTTAAATACAATCTGAGATATGTAAAATAGGTATATGCAAATTAAAACATGTAGCAAAAAAAAAACCTGATATTTTAGATGCGGTTTGCTAGAATCCTCTCAGCTATTTATATATATATTTCGAAAATAATAATTTTCTATTTTTTTTTAATTCAACTCTCTCTCAGTATCGATTATATTTATTTTAATTCATTTGAAAAATATTTATCTATCTCTGATGATTTATTTTACTCTGGAATGCCGTTGTTGTTTTTGTCGTGTCCAATAAAGAGCCTCAGATTCTTTTCGTTTGGCCAACAAAAATGTCCAATTTATATACACATATATTCTTACATAATGAGACTTTAAAGAATGCAAATAATCTTCATCTATTTACATACACAACACATCTCCCCCCTTAATAATACTCCATTCGGTCTAGGGGTTTCCTGGCTCTCTGAGGTCTAGGACTGCGGACGGGCACTTGCACAGCGGCAGCCTCCGGTTTAGGAGTGCAAGAGGGCACGTGCACAGCAACAGGCCCTGGTATAGGAGTGCAAGAGGGTACGTGCACAGCAACAGGCCCTGGTATAGGAGTGCAAGAGAGTACGTGCACAGAAGCAGTCTCCTCCTTGTTTCCTGATGTAACCTCTGGAACCTTCTCTTCACTTTATTTCTGACTTCCACCTACAGGCTTCTCTCCTGATGTTCGAGGAAGTATCAAATTTCTTGTCTCCACTTGTTTCTTTCTCACAGGTCGCAATTGATTGATATGCCTCTTATACACGACGCCCTCGCAACTTATAAGGTAGTGACGGTAGCTCAATAATTCCAAAATGGTACCTTTTTACCGTTTAGGTCCAGTTGCATAGTTGCGGAAATAAACCTCGCAACCTGTAGTAAACTGCTCCTGCCTTCTTACGGCCTCATGAAATACCTCTCGCGGATTTCTCATCTTGGTATTAAATTCGAGAATCTTGATCTTAAACTTCTCTTCATTAGCAGTTCCGCCGGGGAATTCCTTTATTACAGTTTGGGGGGATGCTCTATGAGCAAATAGGAAACTTTGTAGATTCGTCTCTAAATCATCCTTCCCATTATTCTTTCTCAAACGGGTTTTAAACTCTCTTACATATCTTTCAGCTAAACCATTTGTACTAGGATTATACGGACTGGTCTCAGTGTGCCGTATACCATTCATTTTGGTAAATTGCTCGAATTCACCGGAGATAAACTGTCTTCCGTTATCTGTAACAAAATATTAGGGCAATCCAATTCTGGCGAGAATTTCTCTAAGATGACTTATAATCGTTTTTCTGGTAATATCTTTGATGATAAAAATTTCTATCCACTTTGAGTATGCGTCCACGAGAACCAAAAACATTCTTCCCATGAACGGACCCGCTAGATCAAGATGAAGTCGATGCCACGGTTTTTCGGGCCAAGTCCATTCCGAGATGGTAGCCGGGGGCATGCTTGCCGATTCTTGGCATACTCTACATTCTCTAGTTAACTCTTTGATGTTAATGTCTATGCCTGGCCACCAGAAAATACCGTCTGGCAATCATCTTCATTTTAACAATCCCCATGTGTATTTCATGCAAGTCATTTAAAATTAAAGATCTTAATTTTTGGGGAATCACCACTCTTTCACGCCATTGAAAACAATCAAACTCCAAACTTAATTCCTCATTGATCTTATAATAAGGAGCTAGTGGGTTTTCCCTCAGTACACCCTTGTGAATTTCCACACACACACACACACACAGTTGCCTTCTCTAACATTCCTTAATACTATAGACAGTATTTTATCTCGGGACGTCTCATATGCCACCTCCCTAAAAGAGAACGGTACCTCATTCAACTTCCTGAGAAGAAGTACCTGGTCTTCATCAAGAAACTCCCTGACACTCGATTCTAAAGGAAGACGTGACAATGCGTCAACATTGGAATTATCACTACCTTTTCGAAAATCCTCAGTATAATTAAATGCAGCTAATTTTAAGGACCATCTTTTAATTCTGGATGCTGCACATATGGGAATTGGTTTCTGA